GCGCGATTAATTTTGATCGGTTCAAAATTTCAACGGAGTCTCGCCTAGAAGAGTGACGGTTGCGGGATATCGATGAAATATGCAGAGACAAACGCTGGATTAATCGTGCGATGGTCGGCGGTGAAAAATAGGGCGAGCAACGGTGGCGAATTAAAACGGAGGCGCGAGGGTGAAACTTGGACGATAACGCGAAATCGATCGAGTTTACGGGAGGGAGAGAAACGAAGGGAATATGAATGAACAAAAGTGAAAAATCGGCGTCTCTCTCTCTTTCCATCGCCGCCAACGTTTGTTTTTTTTTTTTTTTTTTACGACGAAACGATTACCATCGATCAAAACTGCGAGTTCTTTCGAATAAATGCGACCGATAAAACGATCCTTTTCGCCAATCTCCGCGGTACTCGCCATTTTCCATCCAACCAGCAAGCAAACGTACGTAAAAACGATCGGATAATGATCGTAAATAACACTTTTTAACATGTACGATTAAAAATTCTTCGTTTCGTTTTGTTCCAAGATAAAGGAATGTATCTATATATATATACATACACATAAATATATACGTTTGAAAAAACATTGCAATTACACGGTTCGTTTCCTATATTAATCGAGCGATTTTCATTTAGTTGGCATGCAAAAAACGATCTCGACAAAAACGAATCTAAAAAAGCAGTTTCTAAACCGACGCAGGGAGAGAGAGAAGCATTATTTTGTTACAGAGGAATTAAATTGATCGCAGAAACGCAACGGAAAAATTTAAATATAAATTTCCTTTGAAATTTTCGAAGGGAGGAGTAACAAAAAAAAAAAAAAAAAAAAAAAAAAAAAAAAAAACGAAAAAAAAAAGGAAAAGTGAATTCAATTAGCGTGGAACGAATTGGAACGAGATGGAACGGACGGAGAGAAAAAAAAAGATGATCCGCGCGCTCAAACAATCGGGAAATAACGTCGATGGATGAACAGGTGTAAAAGATAAGTAGGCAACAACGGAAACGAGGCTGCTCGAAACGCGTTTATTGCCCGCCATGCAATGGAACGCATTACGAGCCGCGTATTTTTCCTCGGGATATCGCGCGAAACAAGATTATCCGTGTCCTTTGTCGCTAACTACCTCGAAACATCGGTGAATACGAACTATTCGCGGAACGGTGATAACGAGTGATTACGCTTACCCTATATTACCTCATAAATATTCCGTTAGTATCATTTAGACGTTCCTCCGCCGTTTATCCTCGTCTATTTCAAAGATTATACGGCTTTTAGCGAAATTTGCATCAATGAATCTGGTCGGAAATAGCCTCGTTTTCTTTTTTTTTTTTTTTTTTTGCGAAAAAAACTCGAAGCAGAGTTTAGAAATGGAAACACAAAAGCGATCTCTAATTTCTCCTCCGTTTTCTCTCCGTCCAGGAGCCATATTTCTCGAAATTGCCCGTGTCGCGTAGAACAATTTAACTGGACACGAAAGCAAGAGAAAAAGATAAAGCGCGTGTACGTACGTTTCTCGGATTATTCGTTGATGCGCCCCTGTTACTTTGTTACAGCCATTTTATTACATAATTCGAATTTACATTCGTAGTGCACCGATCTTAATATATCAATTAATATATTAATGCTCGAGGTGAGTGAAAATTAAAAAAAGTAAACGCGAGCTAGTCTTTCTCTCGTTCAAAATTTCACTTCCTTGTATATTCCTTTTGCTTTGGAAACAATATCAAGACAAATAATTATATTATTAATCCGTACGTGCTTCTTCGTTTCCACCATCGATTCTGTTTAGCTCGTAATTTTTTAATTTTAAAAAATTACGCCCCCGCAACGAAGCGGTGATTTCTGTGTCACCAGAGGAACACGGAGGGAGAACGAATCGAAACGGTGGATTTATGCAAGGGGGATAAAAACAATAGCGGAGGGGTAAGGATGGTATAATCGATGGAACGATAAATGGAAACATAGTTTGAAATAATTTATACATCGGCGCGACGCGATCGGCCAGATTATATCGGCCCTGATATCTCCTCCCCCTTTTCATGCGAGCGAATATTAATCACGAATGAAAACATTTGCCTGTAAATTTGCCGCGTTACTTGTGCCCTATTAATTTCTGATTAATCGGACACCGGCCATAGAGACGACGCCGCTCTCTACCCACCTTGTTGTCATCGCTTCCGCCCCGATTTTATCGGGGCCATAGCCGCCCAAAAAACCACCACCACCACCACTATCGCACCACCTTGTTCCAAATCAGCCAAATTGCTATTCCTCGTAGACATCGGTTGATCGACAAAAATTATAAAATATTGAGAATATCTTTTTAGAAGAATAATGATTTTTAACATCTTAAATGGTAGATGTGCTAGAGAGGCTGATCGAAATGAGCTCGAATCAGTCAAATTGCTATTCCTCGTAAACGCGAAAGTCGGTTGATTGACAAAAATTAAAAAAGGTATTGAGAATATCTTTTTAGAAGAATAATGATTTTTAACATCTTAAATGGTAGATGTGCTAGAGAGGCTGATCGAAATGAGCTCGAACTAGCCGAATTACTATTCCTCGTAGACGTCGGTTGATCGACAAAATTAAAAAAAGGTATTGAGAATATCTTTTTAGAAGAATAATGATTTTTAACATCTTAAATGGTAGATNAAGAGGCTGATCGAAATGAGCTCGAATCAGCCAAATTGCTATTCCTCGTAGACATCGGTTGATCGACAAAAATTAAAAAAGGTATTGNAGAATATGTTTTTAGAAGAATAATGATTTTTAACATCTTAAATGGTAGATGTGCTAGAGAGGCTGATCGAAATAGCTCGAACCAGCCAAATTACTATTCCTCGTAGACGTCGGGTGATCGACAAAATTAAAAAAAGGTATTGTTAATATCTTTTTAGAAGTATAATGATTTTTAACATCTTAACTGGTAGATGTGCTAAAGAGGCTGATCGAAACGAGCTCGAAGCAGCCAAATTGCTATTCCTCGTAGGCGCGAAAGTCGGCTGATCAACAAAAATTAAAAAAGGTATTGAGAATATGTTTTTAGAAGAATAATGATTTTTAACATTATAAATGGTAGATGTGCTAGAGAGGCTGATCGAAATGAGCTCGTCTAATCTCCCTCTGTCGCGGGAAAATGAATCGAGGATTGAGATATTTGTCGAAAAGCAAGCGAAAATAGGAAAAATAGAACGATAGTTTCCACGCTTTTCAATCTCTCGGTAGTTACCTGTTGGAGAATTATTATTATTAGGAAAGATCCGTAACATCATCGAGATAATTCTATTTAATTATTCAACGGAACGGAATAATTTATTCGTTGGATTAATAGCTGTTGTTCCGGCACGCGATATTACGCGAATCGTTAATCGAGCAACAACACTAGTTTTCCTCGACTCTTCCTCGAACGCTAAGATTCTTTTGTACTTTCCTCGTGGAAAGTTTCTAGTAGTTGTTTCCACCAGCATCCAGGCGAGACGCGAGACGATCGAAGGGAAAGAAAAATCCCCGAGGCGTTGCGCTTTGGGGACTCGCGAAACGCCAATTGTCTCGTTAAACGCGCGACTAGGGATAAAGAAAGCATAACGAAGCTACCAAGTCGGGCAACGAACACAACGGACACGAGAGAGGAAAGTTATGGAGTCGAAATCGCGTAAAATCCTTGCCGTGGAACGACCGTCATGGAATAATTGCGTTGACGAGGATGTACCAGTCTTGTCTTGGAGGAGAACGTAAAATTTTAACGATCCTCGCGTGAAACTTATTTAAAAAGGAGCTATTGGTGTATATTTTTTTCCAGATCTCGCTTTTTCTTTTTTTGTTTTTTTTATTTTGTCATTACGTTAATTATCTCTGCGTTTACACTTATTTAATAATTGAACGCGCTGTAATCGTGTGCAATATAAAACGAAATATAAATAATTCAATCGTGCTAATGGCAGACGAGTTCGATCGCGCGGTTTAAAATAAATTGGAACCAATGTTAAATCGAGTTGATGGAGTTATGACTATTTCTAAATCTATCGTTTCGAATAGTAGAGGGTAAATGAGAGAAATCCGGTGATTGACGT